CTCTCCCCCCTCACCGCTCCTCTCCCCTCCATCCCCCCAGCGTCACCAACGGCGGCAAAACCACCCTGACCAACCGCCTCACCAAGGCGCTGCCCAACTGCTGCGTGGTGCACCAGGACGACTTCTTCAAGGTGAGCCCCTCTCGCTCCTCCTCTCCCGCCTCCCGCTGCCCGCGGGTGGAGCTTTGATTTACCCCTGCTTGCTTGGCGAGTCAGTTTTGACAACTTAGGAGTCATTCATTACCGATTTTTAAAAAAACAAGTAGTCTAATTGTTAATAGCTTCGGGCAAGCAAGGAGGTCCTGGCCTGTACAAATGTATCTCCAGTCTCCACACAAGTGGAAACAGTCACAGGAGCTTCCTTTAGATTTAACAACCGTTCTAAACTACTGATCTAAGTCAGGGGTTATTTACTGTGCCTGCACGAATAGTTTTCTCCATGTTGGCTCTTCCTCCTTATTTAAATAAGAATGTTGCTTGCAAGTGAGGCTTCAGAGTTCAAGCACCTCTGAATGCAGGGAATTGTGTTGGGAGCTTTGGCAGCTCCGTGTCACAAACCCAACCCACAAACCCCATCCATGGGCTGCTAAGGATGGATGCAGAAGCCCTGTGCTGGCTCGGGTGAGGAGAAGCAGGGCAGTGGACACACCAGAAGAGTGAGACCAACCCCTGTGGGCTGCAGCCTTTTCACAGGAGTTACCAACTAGCTGGACCCCCCCAGAGGTGGAAATCCAAAGAGATGTGTCCACACAAGTGCAATGGTTCCGTGGGATCCCCTGGCATTGGCACGGCTGGTTTCTCCTGCCTTTGCAGGAGCACGTGCCATACAGAACAGAATGAGACACTCATTTGGAATTGCCTCTTTGCCAGGAGCCTCATGCACAAATTTGGTCAGATATGAGCCCTCAAAGTTGAGGAGGAGTTTTCCATAATGATACTCTCACTAGTGTGTTTAGCTCCCTAATGCTGGTGCAAACAAAGCTGTAACTAAGTGATCAGAAGTTGTGCTGTGCTGACCTGCATTTTTATTAGAGCCATTAAGAGTGAAAATAGCTCTTTTTGAACATTTTATTAGTTAATTAACACTGTATTTGCATTTAAAGTTCTTATATGTTGACTTATAAACAGGGACCTGTAGCATTTTGGCTAATATATCAAATTATTAACCTAGAACTCTGTCCAGCTTGGCCTGAGCCACGAAAACTTTTCCAAGCTCTCGGGGTTGGTAAAAGATGGGAACTGGAATTGTCATGTAGCCCAGAGAGGGTCTGTCATACTTTTTTTTTAAGTGAACCCTTGCTTTGTTGTCTTATTGCAGTAGTGTCCAGGTTGTGATGGGATCTTAGGTAGCTGAGCTGAGTTTGCAGCAATGTTTTATTGCTCACTATATTTCAGCCACAAGATCAAATAGAAGTCGGGGAAGACGGCTTTAAACAATGGGATGGTAAGAGCAGTGCTCGCTGTAGGATGCAGTAATGTATCTTCTCCTAAGTATTCCTTTTTCATTCTTAAAGATTTAACAGTAATTTTCTGTAATTTCGATATTTTATTATATTATTTTAGTTTTATAAGTTCATTCTCTGTTCTTTTCTCCAGCCGATGTGGTTTGTGGTGTTTGATTGTGTCCCCTTTTTCCCCCCCACCCACCCCCTTTCTCCTAACTAGTGTTGGACTCCTTGGATATGGAGGCAATGGTGAGCACAGTACGGGCGTGGATTGAGAACCCAGTGAAGTTTGCCCGTTCCCATGGGGTGAATGTCACACCTGGCTCTAAAGAGCCAGCCTCCCAAGATCCCCATATATTGGTCATTGAAGGCTTCCTGCTTTATAATTACAAGTAAGGTTTGGGGAACTATTGCTGGTTTGCCAGGGAAGAACACTAGATCACTAGTGCCAGAGCTAAAACCTCTTTACTAACACACCCTTCCTGCCTTGTTCTGAGGAATCACACGTAAGCATTTTTCTCATGTAAAATGGCCCAGTCAGTGCTGGGCCAAGTGAGGTGACCCCCAAGGTCATGTAGGAAGTTCTCATCTTTAGATTAACTTTGGATCAGAACTTGTTAGTGCTCACCCAGCACTGGAGGCCCAGGCTGCCCTCCTACCTAAATCTTGACCTGCAGAGGTTGTTGATGAGAATAAGATCATAATCTGTTCCACATTGGAATATCTCCTGGAATTTAGGAATAGTTCTCTCAGGATACATGTACTTGTTTAACACTGACTAAATTGAGCTTATTAATTAACTGTACATTGTAGCAAAGATCAACTATTTTTGTGGTTTGTTTTGTTTTAATATGGGGAAAAACATGCTTGGCAGGAAGATGGGGAGACAAAGACTAGCACTGAAGAGAGAACTTCCAAGAGCTAAATACATAAACTGCAGAAAATGGCATGCTATGAACATGAGGAAAAGATTCTTGCCTCTAAACTATGGTTTTGTTTACAAAGCTCCTTCTAGAGAACAGGCTGTGTGTGACACTTCCCAAAACTGGAGCCCCTTAAGACCAGCAGCCCCATCCCAGCTCCCCAAGCTGAATGTGGAATGGCAGCCTTGGCCTCTCCCTGCCCAGAATGGCCAACTGGAGCTTGCTCTGGCAAACTGCCGGGTGTTCCTGGCCTGTCCCTGGGGAGGTGACTCTCTGTGTCTCTCCTGAAGGTTACGAATACCTCTCAAGTGCTCACTCTTGCTCACAGGAGCCTTTCCTTAGCCCAGAGGGAGTACCTCACCCACAGAGCTGCAGCTTGCTCAGTTCATCCTATATTAAGCATTTATGCAACCCTCAGCAGGGTTTTCTCACTCTGTCAGGCCCACCAGCTTCAAACTAAATTTGCTTTAAGGATTTTTCTGGATTTATTTTCTGCAGTCTCCCAGGGGCACAGCACAGTGAGCCATGGTAGAGCTAACTCCCATATTTCTGGGAAGGCACTTGAGTTGAGGACTTGCCTTGTACCAAACTTGCTACACATGGTGACATCCTGCTCCAGTTCACAGCAAGATTGATTAAATAGCAATTTTGGTCTGCTGCAAGCTGAATTTGAAGTTGATGTAGAAAAAAAAAGTCATGGTTCACACCCCAGGTCTTCCCAGCCCTGTGTCTGATCCTCCCCAGGAACTAGTAGCAGGAATTAGGGTGGGAAAAGCACCTGGCACACTTTGCTGCCCTGCAGGGATCAGCACTGTCTGTGTTTTACAGCTACTAATGAACCACCAGCTTGTGTCTTAACACGTGCACTTCTGCTGTGCAATAGAGGAGGGAGGCAAGAAAGATTTTTGTGGCTTTCAGGGGTGATTTAACACTTTGTCAGGAAAAAAGAAATAGACATGTTCTTTCTCTCTGCCCTGCCCCAGACCTCTGATAGACCTGTTCGACCTTCGCTACTACTTGGCAGTTCCATACGATGAATGCAAGAGGAGGAGAAGGTGAGAAGGTTCTTTGACATCTCATCCTTCCATAAAGACTCTACTAACAGCAGCCCTTCAGGCCACCTTTTCTGTTGCTATTCAAGGGATATGTTGGTGTCACTAACTGGAATTACCGTTGCAAATGTTAATATAATTGGAGAAAGGTTTTTCACGTGCTGTTTTCTGAAACTTTGGCTCTTGCTGTCCCCCCTTGGGGGGGTTATGGAGGTGAAAGGGAGCAGAGTTGTTGCACGTTTCCCACTGAGCATCATCACTAAACCCTCAGCCTGCTTGCTTTGCCCTCACTTGCTGCCTGCAGCTTCTCTCCTGGCTTTGGGTGCCTCAGTAAACCTGTTGCAAACCACCAACACCAGTAAGAAACTGGACTGTGACAACCAGCTTTTGCACAAAAGCAACTGAGCAGCTGCCAGATGAATACCAGGCTACAGCAGGGAATTCCCAGCACTCCTTGATGTTCTTTCCATATCAATATTCCCAGCACACGGAACTACACCGTTCCCGACCCGCCGGGTCTCTTTGATGGACACGTCTGGCCCATGTACTTGAAGCACAGGAAGGAAATGGAGGACAGTGGAGTTGATGTTGGTAAGTCTCCCTGAACACAAAGCCTTTGGCATTCTGCTCTGGATTTTAAGGAAGCTGGTAATTTAATTCAGGGGAACTTTGTGGTGATGCAAGGCACTATTTTTATTTCAAAGTTGTAACCCTGACCTAATTTCTGCCCAGATAAATAGCTGCAGTTTTACAGCTAAGAATCTCTTCCCTTTGTTTCATATTCCAAGCACTTCTAGGAGGGGAGAAAGAAACATCTTTAAGAACTATGTTCTCTATAATGGGATATGAGATTTTCCAGGCCATAGTTGTGGGTTTTTTTCAGGCTGCATTTGTTTTTCCAGTTAAAATACAAGTTGTCAGGGCTACAAAATATTTTTCAACTCATCTACGTAATCTTTGTTCTGATCAGAAACCTACAGGCTCCTCCTTTGCCTTTCAGTTTATTTAGATGGCCTGAAGTCTCGAGATGAGCTCTACAATCAAGTCTTTGAAGATATTCACAACAAGCTTTTGAATTGCTGACAGGTAAATCCTCCCTGCTTCCCAGGGAAGGGAACTCCTGGAAACCACTTGTTCTTGTGTCTGGATAGTCAAACTTTCCCTTCTTGCTTTCCAGGGTCTCAGAAGACCTGGAAGACCCATGTACAGAATGATGTAAATAGTACTGAGAAGTTGGAATGAGGATTTATTTGTGTAAACTCTTCTTATAAGGTCCTTTGGAAAGCATCTTTTGTATATAATTGAATCATGAAGATAACTTATTCACAGCTCTGTGATGAACAGGATTGTTTTGTGTTTTGTTTGTTTTTTTATTTTCTTTTATATCCCACTGGCTGAAACAAGAGTTGAAAATGCCTTTTTATAATGGAACAAGTAGAGCTGTGTCAGGAAAACAACTGACTCTTCTACTTCTGTACCTCTGCAGATATTAAGCCTTCATGTCATGGCTTGTTTGTAATGTCATCTCTTAAATTCAGTAAAAATCAATTTAAAAATCTCTTTTGGAGCTCTTGTTTTAATATGTCAGTCACCTTAATGTAGTAGAAACAGGAACAAACTCCCCTCAAGAAAAACACAAGAACATCTCCTGTTTTCATGCAGCACAAGTGACTTCTCTGCAGCCTCAAACCTGCTTTTGTGAGTTGCTGCTTTGGTTTTAAGTGGCAACACTGGCCTGAACATGTGGCTCAACCTCCTCAGCAGGAGTGAGAGTCCTGGAGGTGATCAACACTTCAGATATTTTTCCAGTGCTGGGATGGAACCAGTTTTCTGTCAGGCTCCCCCCAGCACCCTCTCCCTTCCTGACAGAGCGACCACCATCACAGCAGAGCAGTGACCCCAGCCCCCTCGGTGCTCGCAAAGTCCATCCCCACCTATGAGGGCACTGAGGAGGAAGATGAAGAGGCCAACACCTCCAGCACAGCCATCTCTGCAGGGGCACCCCCAGGCAGTGACAACCCCCTGGGCAGTGTCCCCTCCAGCTCCTGTGCTGCTCCTCACCATCAAGACCTTGGGACCCAGCTGGTGACCTGACACTGCCCAGGGAGGTGCTCCTGGGAGAGGCTCTGAGGGCCTGTGACTGTGTCCTGGAGGTGGTGAGAGAACCCCAGGAGGGACCCAGCAGCAGCCCCAAGCCTGGGGACCCTGGTGGCACCACCAGAGCCATCCCACCCTATGAGTCTGCCTTCCTCTTGCTGCCCCAGGAGCTGCTGACACCTGATTATGAAGTCCCTGAGACCAGAGACACCATCTTGGCCCTTGAGGAATTCACCAAGGGGTTGGAGGTCGAGGAGTCCTGGGAGGAGGAGGGCAGGGACCTGCCACTGTCCCAGCCTGTGGCCCAGAAGTGGGGGACAAGATCCCACGGACAACAGCCCAGCACCTCCCTCTCCACATCCTCAGCACCTCCTTGTCCTCAGCAAGCTGCACAGAGCCACAAGGTTGCCACTCATCCTCCTCCTGCCCAAACCAGACCAATGCAGGCTGAAGCTCTGGTTGCAGCCCTGCTCTTGGCCAGCAGCTGTCTCCAAGCTAATAGTCTCCAAGCTAATAATAACCTCGTCACACTCCTCTGTGCCTGGTCATTGAGTCAAACCCTGTGGTGAGATAGGTGAGATCTGTCAACCCCCGGAGTGAAATACAGCAGCTAAAGATAGGAAGTGCCAGTGCCCTGATGTCCCACACCACGTGTGGGACACCACGCAGGAAGGGCTCACCATGTGCAAGCACAGAACCTCTCATGTGGGACCAGTGTGGTGGCACAATCTTTCTGGGCACACGCATAACTTGGTGGTGGGGTCAGCACCGCTCAGCTCAGAAGGCTCCTGGGCTTGCCTGAATTAGAAACATGGCTCCAGAACACAGCACGCCAGAGATTAGCAAAATGTCACCCAAAAACCCACCGAGGCCATTGCAAGGGGTGTTTAAAGGGGCCTGGTGAAGCAGCCAGAAGTGAGAGGAGCAGCAGGTCAGACCTAGCACCTTGTCCTCGTGTTCCACGGACACTTTCCGATTGTCCGGCCGGCACGGGGACACGTCAGTCACCTTAATGTAGTAGAAACAGGAACAAACTCCCCTCAAGAAAAACACAAGAACATCCCCTGTTTTCATGCAGCACAAGTGACTTCTCTGCAGCCTCAAACCTGCTTTTGTGAGTTGCTGCTTTGGTTTTAAGTGGCAACACTGGCCTGAACATGTGGCTCAACCTCCTCAGCAGGAGTGAGAGTCCTGGAGGTGATCAACACTTCAGATATTTTTCCAGTGCTGGGATGGAACCAGTTTTCTGTCAGGCTCCCCCCAGCACCCTCTCCCTTCCTGACAGAGCGACCACCATCACAGCAGAGCAGTGACCCCAGCCCCCTCGGTGCTCGCAAAGTCCATCCCCACCTATGAGGGCACTGAGGAGGAAGATGAAGAGGCCAACACCTCCAGCACAGCCATCTCTGCAGGGGTACCCCCAGGCAGTGATAACCCCCTGGGCAGTGTCCCCTCCAGCTCCTGTGCTGCTCCTCACCATCAAGACCTTGGGACCCAGCTGGTGACCTGACACTGCCCGGGGAGGTGCTCCTGGGAGAGGCTCTGAGGGCCTGTGACTGTGTCCTGGAGGTGGTGAGAGAACCCCAGGAGGGACCCAGCAGCAGCCCCAAGCCTGGGGACCCTGGTGGCACCACCAGAGCCATCCCACCCTATGAGTCTGCCTTCCTCTTGCTGCCCCAGGAGCTGCTGACACCTGATTATGAAGTCCCTGAGACCAGAGACACCATCTTGGCCCTTGAGGAATTCACCAAGGGGTTGGAGGTCGAGGAGTCCTGGGAGGAGGAGGGCAGGGACCTGCCACTGTCCCAGCCTGTGGCCCAGAAGTGGGGGACAAGATCCCACGGACAACAGCCCAGCACCTCCCTCTCCACATCCTCAGCACCTCCTTGTCCTCAGCAAGCTGCACAGAGCCACAAGGTTGCCACTCATCCTCCTCCTGCCCAAACCAGACCAATGCAGGCTGAAGCTCTGGTTGCAGCCCTGCTCTTGGCCAGCAGCTGTCTCCAAGCTAATAATAACCTCTTCACACTCCTCTGTGCCTGGTCATTGAGTCAAACCCTGTGGTGAGATAGGTGAGATCTGTCAACCCCCGGAGTGAAATACAGCAGCTAAAGATAGGAAGTGCCAGTGCCCTGATGTCCCACACCACGTGTGGGACACCATGCAGGAAGGGCTCACCATGTGCAAGCACAGAACCTCTCATGTGGGACCAGTGTGGTGGCACAATCTTTCTGGGCACACGCATAACTTGGTGGTGGGGTCAGCACCGCTCAGCTCAGAAGGCTCCTGGGCTTGCCTGAATTAGAAACATGGCTCCAGAAAAGCAGCCGCCAGAGATTAGCAAAATGTCACCCAAAAACCCACCGAGGCCATTGCAAGGGGTGTTTTAAGGGGCCTGGTGAAGCAGCCAGAAGTGAGAGGAGCAGCAGGTCAGACCCAGCACCTTGTCCTCGTGTTCCACGGACACTTTCCGATTGTCCGGCCGGAACGGGGACACCGCAGCCAGAAACGAGATGGGAACACTGCTGACATCACCCCACGTCCACAAGCTGTCAAAAGGCACATTTCCCTGGGGACAACCCTATCCGTGCCTGGAGAGACACCCACAACTATAATTACCCTGTTCCACGGTCGGGTGCTCGTCAGCAGCAACGCTGAGGAACACCCAGAGCAGGGACAATGTGCTGCCACTTGTCACCCAGACCTTGCAAGTCCATTTGACGTGGCTACACGGGGCATTTCCCACAGATCAGCTGCAGCTCTGCTCTCTGGCAGAACAAAACCAGCCCTGGTTCCCCAGTGGGATTTGGCATATCATTCCCATCAGGGTTTTCCCTGTGTTTAACCCTCACCTGATAAGCTGTGTGAAACCATTCTGCTTTCCTGAAGACATAAGGGAAGAGCCGTGGTGCTCGCTCCAAACCAGCCTCTGGGGAGCAAAAAATCAAAGCCTAAAAATGGCTCTGGGATATTTGCTGCCCACAGAGAATATAAAACTCCCCAGGGTGGTGGTAACTCTGGTCAAGAGGGGAACGAGGGCAGGACATCCCTGTATGTCTGCCTGGGAAACTCCTGGGAACCAACACACTCCCTCACTTCCGAGCACCTCCCTGGTGTTCAGCACGAGCTGAGTTCCTGCAGAATTTACCTCCTGGACACTTTCTCCCCAGTAAATCCCACCTTAGGGAGGAGTGGGAGGTTATTCCCCCTCCCCTGCAGCTGTACATGGTACAGCCAGCTGAACTCCTGCCAGCTCTGCAATTCAAAACCCCCCCAAAGCACGTCACCCCGAGCAACAAAAAAACCACCCCCAATGTTCTCATGCTGTCTCGTGCATCCCTCAGGATGAGATCTCCTGCTGTCACCTCCTAACCCGGAGCAGCCAGGGTGGCTAGTGAGGAGCAGGCAGGGCCAGCCAGGGTGACTTGTAAGAACCTTGAAACCCAAGCCAGTGGCACACACTGAACACCCGGGGAGCCTCAGCACTATGTGAACTTTGCACAGCTCAGGAACAACTGCTGCTGGAGGGTTTCCATACATCCTTGCCCACCCTGGTGCTGGTGACAAACGGGTCCTGCAGGAGCTGATCAAACCCCGGGATCCCAGCTCAATCCACACCCCAATTCCCAGCCTAGAGGACTCAGCACCCCAGGGGGAGGATGACAGTCCTGAGCTCTCCAGCCAGACTCTGGTGCCCCCCCAAGGGTGGCACCAGATCCTGCCCTGCCAGCCGGGCAGTCACGTCCTCAGCCCTGGATGCCAAGCCCCTTGGCCTGGAAAAGCAGGGCAGGCTAAAAATACCCCCAGCCCCGCGTGCCCGGCGGGTTGGGATGAACCCGACACCCGGGGGGACGTCAGCAGCAGTGCCCAGCACACAGGGCTGCCTGGCACAGATGGGACACGGGGCACATCCCCTCCACCTGGGCTGTGCCCATCTCACTGCCACCCCGGACCCCCTGGCAAGATGGGGGGGGGAAGCACTGGAGTGACAAATAAAGCCTCAGCTGGGAAAAGCCCCTCAGCCCAGAGCTTGGATAAAGGAAGACCCACCAGTGACCCCCCTGCCGAGGGTGCTGGGAGCCAGAGGGACACCTGCCATCCACTGGGATTTGGCTGGTGATTCCCCCAGATCAAATTCTTCTTGGCTCCAGCACCAGGGCCCTGGGGCAGCCAGAATCCCCCCGGTGTTCCCAGTGGGAACCAGGCCCTGGGCTCTTGCACATGCTCCAAGGGCAGCAGTGATTTGGGACCTTATCCCCACCACCCCAGGAGGCCAAGGGAGAAGGGAAAGGGTCCAGCCCATGTTGACCCCCAACATCTGGCATCTCCTGGTGATGCCAGAGCCCAGCAGCTCTTCTGGCCCAAACAAAACTGGGCTAGTTCCTTATCCATGGCTGTTCCCATGGAAAATGGTGCCTGGCTGGTCCCCTGCAAAAGGACCCCACAGAAACCCTGAGACCCTCCCCACACCCAACAGCCTTCCCCTAGCCCCACGGACCTCCCCAACCCCCACAGTCCTTCTCCAATTCCCAGATGCAGCTCCCACCCTTCCCTGAGCCCCCCAAATCTCCCCTGGGATCTGAGGCAAGAGGGGCTGGGGGCCCCTCCAGCCCAGGAGCATCCTGTGACCCAGCCCCCTCCCCAGAGCTCCTTCCAAGCCTGCAGGCAGCTTGTCCACACACACTGGGGCTGATAAGGCAAAAAACCAGCCCTTCTCTTCCCAAATTCAGGGAACTCATCTTGGGACAGGAGCTCAAACACCATTTGGGGGGCTGTCACCCCACAGCACATCCTTCCCCCCCTTCCCACCACCCATCCTTCCATGCCAGGAGCCAGGGTGCTGCCCTGGAGCACAGAAACCTTTATTTTGCT